GTGGGTGTGGGGTGTGGGTGTGGGGTGTGGGGTGTGGGGTGTGGGTGTGGGTGTGGGTGTGGGTGTGAGTATACAGAAAATGAATACTCACACCCACAATCCACACCCACACCCACACCCACGCCCCACACCCACACCCACACACACACCCCACACCCACACTCAGCCACCCACATACCCACACTCACCCCACACCCACACCCACACCCCACACCCTAAAATACAAAATAAAATCATGAAAAATAGTCAGAGTTCAATGCTGATCATCAAAGCAATAAAATTAGATTCATCTATTTCGAGGCCTTCGGCCCATAGTTCGAGACAACTTTTGACGCATTGGGATGTAATTCATGTGTGGTGATGAACTAATATACCAATAATCATCAACTACGTGCTTTACTTTATCTTATTTTACTTCATCTTACTTTTTCGATAAAGTAAGAGACACTGTACTTTACTCAGTAAAGAAAAGTCAAATGCTTTAGTTTGCTTGATGAAGTAAAATAAAGTTGAAGTGCCACCTCTACTCACGTTCTTTAAATATAAAAAACTGCATCTTTTCAGTTGAGGGTTAGCGACGTTTGCGTCGCGTTACTTGTATTCTATAATACACACCCGTATTTTGAATTGAAGATTTCTCTGCTTTGCCTTTTACGCAACGTTAAACGTGGGAAGAATTCGTTCTTTTCAATTTAACTTTTTGTAAATTTATGCAGTGCTTGAATACTACCTGATGATTCCGACCCTTGAGAAAGGTCGAAACTATAGTCGTAGTTATTCTTTATATTCTATAATACACACCCACACCCACACCCGAATAGAATAGAAATAGAACAAAACATTGGAATGCAATTGTTTATTAGCGAACTACAAAAAAAAAGATCATTATTATTTCAATCGATTGTCTTTTTGCTTTAGTTGTTCCTGAAGTGACGAGGAAATGTGGTTTTCGTAGACGAGCGACAATTCCTTGAGTGTCTATGAATAGAGAGAACGATAGATATGAGAGAGATCAAGAGGAAATGAGGATCACTTTGTTATCTCATAATGCATCAGCGAGATGTTGGGCTCCAGCGTCTCCGATTTCATTCCAGTTAAGGTTCAGCTTGGTGAGTGTCTGTGAATACAGAGGAAGGTAGATATGAGAGAGATGAAGAGAAAATGAGGAATCACCTTGTTATCCCGTAATGCACTTGCAAGATATTGGGTTCCAGCATCTCCGATTTGATTCCACTCAAGGTTCAGCTCGGTGAGTGTCTGTGAATACAGAGGAAGATAGATATGAGAGAGATGAAGAGGAAATGAGAATCACCTTGTTATCTCGTAATGGACCACCGAGATGTTGGGCTCCAGCAGCTCCGATCCAATTATGTTGAAGGTCCAGCTTGGTGAGTGTCTGTGAATAGAGAAAAAGATAGATATGAGAAAGATGAAGAGGAAATGAGGATCACTTTGTTATCTCGTAATGCACCAGCGAGATATTGGGCTCCAGTATCTCCGATTAAATTGAAGCCAAGGTTCAGCTTGGTGAGAGTCTGTGAATAGAGACAAAGATAGATATGAGAGAGATGAAGACGAAATGAGGATCACCTTGTTATCTCGTAATGCATCAGCGAGATGTTGGGCTCCAGCATCTCCGATTTCATTCTGGTCAAGGATCAGCTCGGTGAGTGTCTGTGAATACAGAGGAAGATAGATATGAGAAAGATGAAGAGGAAATGAGGATCACTTTGTTATCTCGTAATGCACCAGCGAGATGTTGGGCTCCAGCAGCTCCGATATCATTCTGGTGAAGGTCCAGCTTGGTGAGTGTCTGTGAATAGAGAAAAAGATAGATATGAGAAAGATGAAGAGGAAATGAGGATCACTTTGTTATCTCGTAATGCACCAGCGAGATGATGGGCTCCAGTATCTCCGATTAAATTGAAGCCAAGGTTCAGCTTGGTGAGAGTCTGTGAATAGAGAGGAAGATAGATATGAGAGAGATGAAGACGAAATGAGGATCACCTTGTTATCTCGTAATGCATCAGCAAGATGTTGGGCTTCAGCATCTCCGATTTCATTCCACTCAAGGTTCAGCTCGGTGAGTGTCTGTGAATACAGAGGAAGGTAGATATGAGAAAGATGAACAGGAAATGAGGATCACTTTGTTATCTCGTAATGCACCAGCGAGATGT